GCACCCAGCCCAGCAAAATTCTGCCACTGAAGGGAACACAGAACACAAAGACAGAAGCGAGTCATACCTCTCTGGCATAGCTGGGAAGATGCTGGCTGGAAAACAATGTCTAGGAAGTAACAGATTTGCTTTAATCCCACACAGACATCCTCCAGCCCATGGGGATGAAGTAGACTGATGGTCTCCAGTGTAGGTGCAATGTACAGACTGACTACTCAGAATCCCATTTGCACATCCATAAAGACCACAGGATTACTCTACCATCTTTTTGTGCATTTGAAACCTTTCAGATTTAAGCCAAAAAACTCATTCTCCACAGAGAAGAGATCTTGCACAGTGAACAGCAGCTTCTGTGGAAGCCAAAACCTGAAGTGAGGACAGTCACTGTATAGCTATAATTACAGCTATGGAGCAGGAAGCCAGCATTTGCCATAGCCAGATCCTAGACATGGTATAACTTCAGCCAGAGATGATTAAATCTCTCCAGACTATAGGGACAAGCTACTACAAGACCAGAAATGCCAATTTCAAGTATTCAGATGGAAATTACAGCAGGCTAAAGTGGTCCAAGAGTTGTCAATCCAGTTAACGACTTGCCAATTTCAAGTTTGTTTTGTTTTGTTAAATCAGTAAGATCTAGCCTTTCAGGCTTCTGGCTTTGTTTGCTTATTCCACCCCCCTCTAAACTGCAGGCAAAGAAATAAGGGAGCACAATGTGAGAAGAAGAAATCTCCCGAAAACCCAATAGCTCTGTTTGCTCAAGGCCAGAAGGATTCAATGAGACAGAAGCCTAGCCGCTGATCTTCAAGCGGGTTCACAGTAGCCTAGTTTATAGGAAGAGTCCTTTTACTTGCCTGCAGACTATGGCAGATATCCAAAAGGGAACAGTAATCCACATACCAAAGATACTGAGGTGCCAAAGCTGAGCAATCTTTCCCATAAGGTCTTTGGAGCATTGTGTGCCATTCTTTCATCACGAGCAGGAGGAACAGCTATGCCCAGTAAAAACGCTTGGATTCTGAGCATTCTTGAAGCTACAAGAAGTTCTTGCAACCTGTGGCTGGATGGACATGGAGGTAAGGTAAGAAGAGTGAAAGATGCTGGGCTAAAATCTCTAGCAGGACTTGAGGCCAAACTCTGGCCCATACCAGATGCATTGTTGAGATCAGCGTGGAAACCTGAGGCCACGAGAAGGGAAGTGAAGGCTTCTAAAAATAAAGGGCCTATCATCCAAGCTGAACCATCTACAGATGCAAGATGGCCCCGCCTCAGGCAAGTGAGCCCAGAGCCCTGGCACTGAAGAAGGAAAAAGCAGCACAACTGGGAGAGCTGACAAAGTTGCAGAACTAGCAGATCACACTTCTGTGCAACCTACGTACCGATGGTGCAACAACCAGTACCAGTGGAAGAGCTAGCAGAGGCAACCGGGATTCTTGGAGAACAATCAGCTCCTTGGCAGACAGGAGAGAACACACAGCACTGGGTAGATTTCTTTCACAGACCAGAGCAGATAACGAAAAAGGTGTTTCTGAGTCAGGAAGCTCTTCTGAAAGTTCACTTCTGACAGACAAATACAACCTGGGGATGATGAGCCTCTTTTGTGTTTTTTTGTTTGGTTTATAAACCACCTCCAGCTCCATTCAAATGAGAATGAATTCCACAGAGCTGATACCAAACCTCAACCAAACCTCAAGGAAAACTGCCAAGATGACAAAGATGAATACGTGAAGGGAACAGATTTCTTGAGAGACCTCAGGCATAAGTCCCCTGTTCAGGATGGCTGATAACCCACAACTCCACAGCAATCCCGAGAGCAAGGAGGCACTTCATCTTGCTGTGGCTGTTCAAGAGGAACCAGGGACCATGCAATACATTTCAGCAGGGAACAGCAACTAAAACAAAGAGGTACTGGTATGGCAAGACATGTATGACCTTGATTGCTTACAGTGCACGAGTACCCATGCTTGTCCATAGTCAGAATATGAGCAGGCACTCGAAGAATGCTCTTTTTTTATGTACAATACAAGCTTACACAGGCTCAGAGTTACTGACCCTGGAGGTTACCCAAGTTACATGTTATGTGTACAAGTACATGCAGTTCTACACTGACTGAAACAAACTGTAACATAGGGCTTACGGCCATCTTAATTAAGAACAGCTCAGAAGAATATATTATCTGACCCAATTTTAAGTAATTAATGCCTGTTGTCTGGTTCTTCAATGCTCAGTACACAACATACACTAACATTTTTAAAAAAAAAAAAAAAAGCACTGCTATAATTTGTTTCTAACACATTTTCTTAGGGTAACAAGGTACACAAGATACGCGTGGGACTGCTCCTTCCCCTGCAGCTAGGCGTTAGGGAACCCATGTGAGTGAAAATCATTATGAATGAAAGCCACAGAAACCAAACTCCAGTGCCGCTTTCACTGACCGCTGTTATTTTTATCAGCCCTACGCTGCCAGAAAGCATACACACTACTTCCTTCATAAACCTCATATATACATTTCATCGATTTAGCCCACAAAATTATACTCATTACTAAAAATAAGCAGCAGGTTTGAAGCCTGAGCCCTCCAAATTCTGAAAACTCTTCATATTTACTCAAACTATACAAAGGAGCTGTGGGAAAAGTGGAAGTAAAGACTTCAGACACATGCTGGCTTGTCACAAGAGTCAGACATAACCAGAGGAATGCTTAGTAACTACACTTCTGTTTCCATACTTAAGGAAAGATGAAGAGACCCACACAAGTGGAGAGGTAATTCTCAATATTGCAGCACCATGTGTTCCAGAGACTGATGTCACAGCTGATTTTTGAAGGTTTAATTCCAACACAACGTAAGAATCTCTTGGCAGCCTTTATTAATCATAAAGGAACAAAAAGGGCCCAAGTCTAACTTACTAAAAACACAGAACTGACCTTCCTGGATTTTTTCAAAACACTTACTAAAATTGCAACTAACATAGTCTATTACTAGCTTTCATATTTAACTGAAGAAACAAGGTGCAAGGGGAAAGGAACTGTTGCCTCCACAGTTTTATGTTTTAGATAAAAAGATTTTATACTATACACTTCACCAAGACTTCAGAGTTGTCAAAGGCAGTGATGAAATCAGCATTGCCAGGAATATGTAACACTATTATTCCTAAAAATTGATGTTCTGAAGTCAAATTGTCTGGAATTATAAACATCTTTGTCAGCAATAAAGCCAGCATCAGAACCCCCCGGAAAGTATGGGGGATACGTACTTAGTGAAACCACTGACTGAGGTTAGTTGGCTTTATTTGTACAGATCCACACCACGTTGTTCTGCAGGAAGCATAATGAAAACACTGTTTTCAAAGTGGATATTGTTTAATCTCGTCTGCCTGACAGTACAAAAACACTACCCAAGAATGAGTATCTTGTAACTGCAATAAAGCAAAGGATCAGGATTATCAGAACTAATGTAAGATTTAAACACATGCACATATCTATAGAAACCAGGTCTGATACAGTCAAGCGCAAGCACGAATGAGAAGCCAGTGCTTCCCACGGTACAGAACCAGAAATACAGATCTAGTCAGGGCGATCAAACTCCAGTTACTCCAGACGGCGTATCAATAGATGTGCCCAGTATACAGTCTCCAGTGTATCAGGGCCCAGGATACCACTGTACTGGCAACAAAACAAAGTATCTAGGATCTCAGCGAAGTCTTTTAAGGAACAAACCAAACAAATCAGGCAAAAAAACTGAACTCCCTTCCATTACTCAGCTAACAGTTTTCATAAATATCAGTATCAGAAGACTGGCCCCGTAAAAAATGTACAAGGAATTGATTCATCATACATGATGACCTCACTGAGGTCATAATTCTGCATTTTGGTATCCGTTATCTGTTACAAGGCAACATTGTGGTGACTCTCCTTAAATACACTTAAGCACACAGAAAGTCACTGTCCAAGTGAGTATGACTGGTAAAAATCCAGAGCCCCACCACAAACAAATGAACCCAAGACAAAACCTCCAGGACAATTTTAGCTAGCAGCAAAAGCATTTTTAGGAGCAAATGTTTCTGTTACAGATTAAACGTAGTTGCTTTCCAAGCAGTATTTAATTAGTCAAGCCAAAACATTTTACAGCTGCTGCTTTTAAACTGCCCCCCTCCTCCCCCCCCAGACTGATTCTTTTCTCATAGCCCGCTCTTGACCTGCATCTTCTCCCCTTCCCTAGGCAGGTAAAGGTACATTTCCTTATTGATTGAGCAGTCTTCATCACAACACTTTCCTAAACGAACACATCAATGCTCCCCCAAAGAGTCACTGAATCCTTGAAACCTAACTCGTAAAAATACTGTCCTGTGCTCAATGGATCATGTTTTATGAACACAAATTTTCACTGCCTTACCTTAAAAATGAAATTAAACAAAAAAAACACCCTAGATGTACTTAAAGAAGTACAAAAGTAAGGCAGATGTAATTTTAAGTGATTATAGTATAGATACATGTTTCTGTCTACTAAATAACAATGATATAAAAAAGCTACATAAAAAAATATTATCTTGTCAAAAACATGCATCTGCTTTAATAAGGCACGAGTGATGTGAAGAGCCAGGACCAGCTGAGCTGACAGAAGTAGTCCACTACCTGTTCAATGTCCCACCCAGACTTCACAAGTGGAAAAAAGACTTGGAGGAGGGGATACAAAGAAAAATAAACATGCAAGAGGAAATGCAGGATGTGCTGCGAGGGTGGACAGTCTAATACTTCTTATGGTACAAGTTTGTCATGTTATCTAAGAAAAAAAAAAATGAACATTTCCAGTTGAAATAACACTCCAAACAAGACCACTATTACTGATCATTTTTATGTTCTTAAACAGTTGGTTTTGCCATAGCCAAGATAATTATAGCATGTAGCCATGATATACAGAACTTTGCTCCCCAAAGTTATTAGTATTATGCAATACACATTAAGCAGCTTGTGAAATACAAAAATACAGCATTGAAACTTACAGTATTTAACAAAATCCTTCTGAAAATCTTTCCTAGAATTGACAAAGGCTCTTCCTCTCTCAGTTCCAACTACAAACACATCTGTTTCATATACAGCAATACAGGCAACTTCTGCCTTGGACTTGGTAAGTTCTTTACACTATAAAAAGAAAAACAAAAAGCTTTTATTACCATAGTTAAGAGTACAGTTAATAGAAATATATGTGGTATCATGTAAAACAGTTATTACTTCTGCTGCCAGCATCCACCCTTCAGAAGGTACTGCAAGTAACACAACAGTCATTAGCAAAGGATAATTTATACATCTAGAGTGCTTCTCCATCAGGAATCTTAAAAGCATTGTAGATGCATTAGTGAAATTAAGGCCTCGTCTAGACCCAGAGATTGCACTGTTTCTAATTAAAATTATTTATGAAATCAATCCATGTGAAATTATCACTTCCTTATTAGACAATGATATTGAGTGTCTTACACCAACTCCAACTTTCAACAGAGCGTATAGGAGTTTTGTTCATTCGCAGCACACTTATCACACATCACGTTCTGTTCGGAAAGGTGTGGCTGCACGCAGGAAGCCTGCCTGCAGTCTGCCTTGTCCTGCCTGCTGTGCTTCGGCTCAAGTGAATTCCTCTGGAGAAGGGAAGGATTGCACCTTCTCTCTCAACACCTACATGTGTTCTGCTGGGAGAAATTCCTGGCAAAGTAGTAAGGCAGGAAGCCTGCAGCGCAAGGAGAGGGCAAAGATCCTAAGAAAATTGGTGAGATCATCAAGAAGTGATCACAAGTCAACTTCTCGTAGGAACTCAGATCAGTTTGCTGTAACCTAGAAAGACACCAGAAACTGAGACATGAGAGGAGAAAGCGACACAAAGCCTTTAGGAACCAAATATACCCATTGAGAAAAAAGGCTTTGCCATCAATTCTTTTATAACCATCCCACTCAATGTTTCATTGCTAAAAAGAAAAGTTTTGTTCTTGTTTATGATTTAAGAAACCAATTTTAAAAACCCAAACCGTTGGCAGTGCCTCAACTTTAAGGTAACATTTCCAACCACAGCCCTGGCAAACCTTAAACCTCACCACACAATAAATAACCTCTACAAAACAGGTGATATGCCAACTTAAAAAAAAAAGTATTTTCTGAACAAGTTTTGCTGTACAAATTCAGCAGCTGAGGACAAGGCATTAGCCTCAAGACCATTTATGCAGTCTGTATTACAGATGACAAAGACCAGAACATACTCTTGCCTTTCAATCACGCTGTACCTGAGCAATCAACAAATATTTCCTCTTTGTTTATTTGACAATATAATTTTTAAAACAACCACACCATGACAAGAAACAAGATAACTGTTAAGAAGATGGTTAGCATGATTTTCCACAGGCAAAGAGACCGAGTTACAGCTGGTTGGACAGCATGCAGTAAGGTATAGATACAACATTACACCTTTTCTGCTCCCCAGCAGGAGGCAAGATATTGGTGTAATCCTGCACATGCCAAGACAGAGTTACGATGCAGCTGCTTAACTACTCTACTAACCATTGACTCAAGTGCTGACATGAGGAATGTAACCACCATTCTGCTTTCAGAGGAGTCCTCATCACGGATGGATGTTGCTGGTGCAGTAGCTTGGGCCATTTTCCTCCTATAAAATGAAATACAGAAATCCTGTTCAGATATGCGCAACAGTGCAAGAAAACCGAAACCTCTCTTATCAAAGAAAAAACCCAAACAAAAATACATTCAAAAACCCAGAACACACCCCACCACAAATACACGTGCAAACATACAGGTAAATTAGCAACATGAAGTGCTCACTCTACTATTATTTTGTATTTCCTGCTGTTTCATCCAAAGTTGGAGCTAAACATTCAAGAGCTAAAATGGTGTGCCATGACTAGACCACAAACCCTTTGTACCTAGAAAAATGCATAATAATTGATTGGCTAAATTTACATTGATTTTTCTTTCTAAGCATGTTTGCAACTAGATACCCACAGCAAAAAATCATTGGCATTAACAGTGTTGAAAAGAAGTGGCAAGTCACAGTTATGACACAAATATTAGAACAATCCTTCGTGTAATTTTGAACTTGACTTTATCATGGTCTGGCTCATAACAAACCACCACTGCCCCAAAATCATGGCCTCAGAGCCCACAGTATCAGTAACCAGAACATGACAGGTTGGTTTGGTTTTTTTCCCCACATATTATTCAGCTGTAGGATTAACTCCAAAGTTAAGCAGTCCCAATTAAGCTGCTCAAATTAAAAACTGAATTTCAGCAGTGACACCAAAAAAAAAATTAAAATATTTAAACCTATTTTCTGTATTCCATTCTGGAGACTTTCAACTTATTTAAGACATAATTAATAATCAGGACTTATTTATGCTTCTGCCAGCAGAGCTGCCTATACAAGAATTAATATATTGAGAACAAAGTTTCAGTAGCTGCTAAGAGCACATTTTTCTATTGTAGTGTTGTAACTTGTTACATTTCCACATACCTAATGGAATAACCTGATGTGCCTGGAGGAGGAGAGAACTGGTAGAGATTTAGCTGCTACAACTCCACGCGCAAGTCTTGAGAAAAATCACCTCTAAAGTCAAGATAGCTCCGATAAACAAGACATTTCACAACAGCTCGATGAGACAGCTCGCTCCTCCTATGGAGCCTGGACACACAACGTGGCTCAAGTTTTCAAGTGACGTGTATCCTATTAGATGTGCAGACAAGTCAGGGCAGCACAAAGAACCATTGCATGTGCTAATAGATGCTTACATCGGAAAAAACAGCACCGTGTTGTTCTTTTGATAGGACTTGGAACACTTCAGACTGCAAATTGGAGTGGGGGAGAAGAGCCAGTGACACTGCAAGCTCACAACAGACGCCCAGCAGCATTCTGGCTCTCCAGAGACAGGCTGGTGAGGCTCAAACAGCTTTAAAACTGCGTTATGGATAAACTGGCAGTAGCACAGTCAGCAGCTGTTTGAGGATGCAGGTAACGGGAGATTTGAACACTGAGGAGAGGCGGTTACACTGAGGAGTAGGAAAACAGGTCCTTCCTCAGGTCTGGAAAAGGACCTAAACTTCAAGAGTGAATATAAAGGAGTAACAACGGTTGAATGATGTTGGCTGCTTCAATGAACTGAGAGAGGGTCAGCTGGGGATGGGGAGATAGAGGCTGATGGAGTTATCCTCCAGAGGAGGAAGGACAGCTTATTTATTGCCTGCACAATATGAGAGGGAAAAGGGAGATTATGATGTGATGTAAATAAATCAATCTTCATTGAGCCATGATTTTTGACACCTAATAGAGTTCTCAAGCTCATATCTGGAAGTCCTTTAGGGTTGAGATGCTGACAGTAATTTTAAACATGATAGCTTTTAGACTTTTTAAAACAATACCTTAACAATCCAATATTAAAGATTAAATAGAATACAACTACACATTTCCCCTTTCTCTACTCACTGTCTGATGCACTTGTTCTGCAGCAGTTCAACACCTCCCAAACTAGCAGTGGCATGAACACATGCACCCACCCCATTCAAGATGAAAAATCAGGCTGTTTAAAAACAAGAGTAAACTTATTTTCTATTTTGCAGAGGTACCTTGTCCAGAAAACAGACCGAGGGAATACTAACGATCATCTGAAGGCTGTGGATGCACAAGCACATCAGCGCAGTGCCAGCTCAGGCTGTCTCCCCCATGCAGAATTGCTCCCATCCCTGGAAGGTGATTTCTGATCCCCAGACACACAGCAAATCAAGCCAGGGAACCTGTCCAGGCAACGGGGAGGAGTCGTGCTCCACTGGACCGCGTCCCAGTTTGATTCACTGCACAGCCCCACAAACAGCCATCCTGGCTCGACGGAGAGGACAGCACATCCTAAGCTACCTTGCTGCTGCACATGAGGCCACAGGCTCAGTGTCTTGGACTCACATTTGGATTGGGAGTTGGGTTAGGTTATCATTGGACTACTCTCCTAATAACATTTGGAAGAGTCTTTCCAATAGTGCTTTGTATTTTTAGGAGACCCATTCTTGTTTAACCAGTTCACATGGTGCCAGATCAGTGTTTAATGTAGATTCAAGAGACACCCTGTTGCACCATAGCAGCACAAGAATATTTTTTCCTACCCACCTGACAGCAAGTCACACATGAAAGATTTTTTTTTTCCTCTACATTTTACCAGTTTCTCCCTTTCAAACAACAGTTTTCTCCACTATCCTTATCTATACCACTGGGACAGTGTTTATCATTAGAAAGAGCAGGCTATAGTTCTGTAGATCTAATGAACCTGGCTGCCTTTGCAAGATCAGGCCATTAGAAAGTGTGTGACAACACCATTGCCCAACATAAATCCCCAGTGCAAAGCCTTGAAAAAAGTGTAACACCTTACCCACTACCAACGTGCTACAAAGGCCCACTTTAAAACCATCCTTTGAACAATTACAAGCTGGCTGCCAGAGTACCACTTATGATATATCTGTTAATCTTAATCACATATTGCTAAAAAAGAACTTCCAGATCAGTTAATATTAGTTATAATTACCTATAAATCCTTCAGTATAACTGTGCCAAGATGAGCCTTTGCCCAAGTAAAGGCTTGAACAGTGAACAAAGCCTTATAAGATACACTGGTAGAGGACTGAGGATGTAGCAGTTAGCCATTTCTGCCTGTGGTGGTTTAATCCCAGCCAGCACCTCAACCCCACGCAGCCGCTCACTCACTGTTGCTCAGTGGGATGGGGGAGAGCACCAGAAGGGTAAAAGTGAGAAAACTCCTGGGTTGAGATAAAGACAGTTTAATAGGTAAAGCAAAAGCCGCGCACACAAGCAAAGCAAGACAAGGAATTCATTCCTCACTTCCCATGGGCAGGCAGGTGTTCAGCCATCCCCAGGAAAGCAGGGCTCCATCACGCATAACTGTGACTTGGGAAGACCAACTCCAAAGTCCAAACATCCCCCCCTTTCTCCCAGCTTTACGTGCTGAGGATGACATCATATGCTATGGGATATCCCTTTCTTTAGTCATTGGGGTCAGCTGTCCTGGCTGTGTGTCCCCCCCAATTCCTTGCGTACCCCCAGCTACTCACTGGTGGGGTGGAGCGAGGAGCAGAAAAGCCCTTGGCTCTGCGTA